CTATTGTTTGGCAGCTTTCGTGGTATTGGCAATGGCGTCAGAATCGTTTACATATTTTTTGCCATCGGCCAGCGGGACAGAGGGAAAAACTATGCTGATGGAGCTTGCAAATGGAAATCGTACTGCCTTGTTGATTTGCTTTTAATTTTGCATAAATATGCGAGATTCTAGAGGCGGGGATCCGGCGGATTCGGGGTGATGCTGTGCTGTCAGTTGCAGTCTCAGTTGCTGACAGTCTGGATGGTGGATTACTTTACTATACATCTACATATATGAATAACTACGTACAGTGAGGCTTCTATAAGAGTAGATTTCAAAGAACATTAACCATAGCGTATAAAAAAGTTTTTTCATTAAACTACTTACTATTAGTTACTTCTTGAATCTCAATCTCTAATATTTTCAGACATTACTTCTTTGTAATTTCCCTTAATGAAGTTCCACTGTGTGAATGTTTATCTGCATATGGAGCCCCTCTACCCCACACACTCTTAGCTGCCTCTTGGCTTTTGCTGTCTTTAAAATTCATGAATGCAGCAATTTCTGCATCGCTTGCACTTTAATGGGTAGAATTTAATTCAGGGAATATTCTTGTGTCACTCTCGACTTCATTCTTCAGTCTTCAGTAGTCGCGTAATGGAGCGATCTCTATGGCTCTTTCGCTCCAGGGCTCATGTTTGTCACTTTAAACGTTTAAACGTTTAATAAGCGATCTCTTGATTGAATTAATATGCCATTGTTGACCGGCTGCTGCATGATCTCGGATTGGTTCGTAGACGGGCAGATAGAGGGTTAATTGAATTGAAGTTGCCATCCTCAAGTGGTGAACTTTTCAACTTTTCAGCACATCTCAAGTTACGAAAAAGAAATGGAAAAATCTCTGATCAGATGGAGATTTATGGCAGCGATTGAGGAAGTGTTAGAAGCAGTCTATTAATTATGAATATGATATTTAAGTGTTTGAAAATATCGCAGAGATATTTTTAGCCTAGACTCAAATATATGTTTTCTCTTTATGGATCTTGAAACTTCATATTTCTCCCCATTTATTTTCAATTCATGATGAAATTCCTCCCTTTGTTTGATGTGGCACATTCCCTTTGATCCTCCTCACCAGAAGTTCCAGACATTAAACCGGATCATTTTCTTTCATAGTCCCTTCTTGATAGCTGCGCTTTTAATTCCACAGATGCGTTCCACACCCAAACTCAAACCCATTCTCTATAGAGAGACCCGACCCGCATTTTGTGAAAAGAAACTCCAATCTGAAAATCTCTTTCATACACAACTTTATCAAATATTTTCTATTTGTCTGGCTCTCTTTCTCGGTTTGTTTACATTTTCGTGTTCGCCGTGTTCCGGCCTTTCAATTTAAAAAGTGGAACTCATGCCCAACAGCAACACCATCCACACAACCGCACACACAGATACGATTGTATCTCACAGATACCAGCGCCGTGTGGTATTCATTCTCGTGTTTATTTTGCGCTGCGCCTTCATTCGTTGGATCGCATTTGGCATCCACATCCACGAGTCCACAATCGTAGGTAAAAACAGTTTCGAAGCGTGTTTCAAGCCGTCAACGTCAACGGTTGCCGCCAGCGGACAACTGCGACGGCGCGCCGTATCCGAGAGATACGAATACCTATCTATATATCTGCACCCTCCTTCATTCGCTGTGTGTGTTTTTGTGTTTGTTCATTACGAAAGCGTTAATGTTAATAAGTTGGCTCAGCTGAATCAAGTGCGCGATGGAATTCTAACCCAAAGATACACCCAAAAGATACAGCCGAAAGATATCACTTAAAGAAAGACTTTCTCAATGAATAAACAAAGATTTATATGAAAAAAATATATTATATATCAAGTGATATTTTGGCATGTTAACAAAATAAAATGAATTGAATGATGTACAAACTATCTGAATATTTGTAAACTAATGGTTTCTTGTAACTTATAACCACATAAGGAACCTCATATAGCAACACGGAATCGCTAGGGTTTTCTAACAACCGGCAACCAGAAACCATAGCCCATTGCAATCCGAAATCCGCAATCCAAGTCGAAAATGCAACCCGTAATGCTCAGCGGAGCGCAGCTGTGAACATTTCACTTTCGGTGCATCCACATCCACATCCAACAAATACAAGCGATTGTTGCACGCCGCTCCAAATTTGCAACGCAAAGTTGGCTGGTCATTGGCTTTTGGCTCTTGGCGGCAAGAAACCTTTTGCACGATGCAAATGTCTCTATAAAGAGAGAGATATTCGGTGTGTCTTTGAGATACTTTTGCTATCCCCCTGTATTTGCACTGAAACTTTATGGGGAGTGTGAAGTATCTGCGATGACGCCTCGTTCAGATATTTCTTGACAGCCGCTAGCCATTAGCATATGCAAATCGACTTCTAATAAAAAATCGAAAAGTATCGAGATCGCAACTGAAATCGAAACCAAACTTTAAACGGTGTGAAGTTGCAGCAAATAAGCAAAAGTTTATTTATAAATCATTACCTCAATTTGTGGGATTTTCCGCCAGATGAATAGACATGTTCAACTACCGATTTGTGTGTGTTAACAACAATTGAAAGTGACATCAGCTTCGAAACTTTATTATCGCGAAATTCCTCAACTTTTGCATTTTATTTATCCCCATTTGTTATTAAAAATATACTTATATATTTTTTGTGTGTGCTTCAAGTTTCCAAATTACGTGCATTCATATCGTAAAGCAACAAGTGAGCTTATACTCTCTATAAACATGTCAAACGAAACCAATTAAATAATCAAATTAATTGCTTTGATTCGCTCAAAGTGCATTGTTTTGAGAGACATTTCTATTTGCGGCAAACGAAACCAAATAAAAGCAAACACAATGAAGTTTCCGGATTATGTTCCAAACAACATGTTGGTGGTAAGCAAAAAAAAAAAAAAAACAGAGCCAAACATCTTAGTTTCCATATAATTAAAGTCATTAAGAGTGTGTAGTAACTGGGTCATAAATCAAACTGCTGGAACTTAAATTATGACTTAAGCGAAGGGTGGGGTCTTTGTAGATACAAAACTACTAGATAAACATCTGATGAATGCCTGAGCTTTAGCAGACCAAGGTTAGAGTGTATGGTACTGGAATCGGAAAAACTTCTTGCCACACATGACAAGATTAATTGCTGGATATATCTGCTATAAAGAAAGTCTTTAACGCACGCCTTCCTCTGGCTGCACACCATTAAATTTCCAACTAATTTCACTTGCAATTAAGTTAATTATAATTTTACCGCCCCCATCAAAATGCACAAACTCGGTCAAAAATCCAGCAACTTTTCATAAATCTTCTTTCATGTTTTTCGCCTCCCTCGGTTTTATTTTTATTTAATGCAAGCCAAGCATAACCAAAGATTTCTGGGCAGATGTGTGGAGTTAGTCTGATGCAAATTCATATATAGTAGTTTGTGGAGATAATATATATCTACACCTGCAGCAGACGTACATTTTCATAAATATTTATTAACTTTTGGCTGGCCCACGCGACTGCACAAATTTGTATTTTCGTTAGTTAATTTTGTTTGTTATTTATACCAGCCCACGCGTGGAATGTTATTCCGACTCTTTGTAATTGGATGCGTCGTGTTGCGTCTGTCTGTTAAAATTTTGTTAATTTTATTTTTGTGGCGCCCACCTGAGACAGGCATGAAAATTTCGCTTAAATTTTTTGTGTTGTTTTAGGGGATTGGCTGGCTCGCCGAGCGACAGATTGAAATTGATTGCAGTTTCGGAACCATTTTTGTCGACTGAATCATGGCGAATTGAATGCAAGCATTGGGATTGGGAAAGAGCTTGATGGGATTTGATTTTAATTGATTTATCTTCATTGTATATTGGATTTGTGTAATGATTGAGTTGGATCCCTCAATTGAGTTTTCCCATAGGGGGTAGTGTGTCGAATGGGCATTCCGAATGTGTTCCACCCAGCACCTGCTGTGAGGGTAAATGAAGTCAAACTAAAATGATTTTGTAATTCAGGTGGTAAATTGGGTGAGGAAACGCTAGCAGGCCGATAGAAATCATTAATTTAATTGAGTTGTTGGATGGCAAACTAATGTAATTGATTTACTACGCCAAACACTTGAAATATGAATTTGGTTCCCATTTAATCATTATAAATAAACAAAGAATATAATCCAGATACACAAAACTTAATAAAACTTTAATGATATGAGAACGTTTATTCTAGCCGTTATTCATAATTAAAACTGGAAATTCGAGATGAAAAGAAATTTCTTTTGAGCCCATTAAAAAGTGAATTTACATACATTTAACTCACATTTCTAGTTCGTCCCAAACATCTTTCATTCTCTTTTATAACTCAAAATCCAAAGTTTATGAATTTAGATTCCACTTCATTCATAGCATTTCCAAAAGAATTATTCGTAAACAAATCGTTTTCAGCTTTATTTAGTTCCGCTTTGTGTCAGGTGGCTCAGTCACAAAAACAACAGGAAAATAAAAGAAAACTCGACGAATTTCCATTCAGTCACAGCAAGTGCACACCCAACAACAGCTCCTGTTTCCTCTATTATTTTTATTATTATTTTTACAACTAACCACTACCCATTTTACGTGCATATACGCATTTCTGTTGGAACCTCTAGTGCATAAAATTGAATCGTGTCCGAGTGGCTGGGTCGTTCATGGGTTGTTCTAGGGTCTGGGCAACAGGTCGCCTATAACGAGTATGTAAAAATAGTGGAGAAACGGAATCACATGTGCATTTCCGCCTGTCAGCCGTCCTTAACAAATTCCAATTAAATTATATTGAAATAAATTAAGATGGACAGCAAAGGAAAATGTTTTTAGTACACAAAATTCCACGATAAATTTCTAGTTGGCAGGAAAATATTTGAAAGGTATTTTTATATACGAAACTCTTATGATACATTTTGTGAAATTGTTATTTGTGATTATTAATAACATTCTCCCTTTTATTCTTTGTATTTTTCCAGGGTGATCGCACCACTTGGGAATACCACACAGTTGCTGTGACTCGGGTGCCGGGTTATGGATTCGGCATTGCCGTTTCCGGTGGACGTGATAATCCGCACTTCGCCAACGGAGATCCCTCGATAGCAGTTAGCGATGTGCTGAAAGGTGGACCCGCCGAGGATCGATTGCAGTAAGTATCGAAAATCCAGGATGACTCAACTGAAGTTACTCACCCCTTCGGAAGTAAACCTCTTGCAATGCATTTTGAATTATTATCTGGAAGGAAATTAATTGTTGTTCGGTACAAGTCCGACATGTTGAATGGCCCCCATGCTCGGCTGATGAAATAAAATGCAGACTAAGCATTTCTATTTGCCCAGAACTAGCTGGTTCCCTCCTTCAACCCAAAATGAGCATTATAAATTCCCATCATGCCGCTGACAATTGACATCGTTAATCTTGGCTTAGAACTTTTTTCTTTTTTTTTGATACCCACTCCTTCGAAAATTAAACCCAAATGCGCACACTTCAATACTTCAAACTCACGTAGCAGACCCCAAAAAAAATATAATTAAACCAACGCCCTGACAGCTCCAACTCCGACCCTCTGAAGCTGTTTCCCTCTGGTTATAATAAAAATTCCAAAGCGTTTTTCAATAGACGGCGAGCGGAGAGCAAGGCCCTTGGCCAGACCCTAGTGATTACAAACTTGTCATAATCTTTTTCCCAAGAAACTATTTACCCTGGCCCAGACATGCAGGGAACTATGTTCACGTTGTCCCTTACCTGAGTCTGCCGGAGGATTTCAAAGGGAAAATCCCGCTGCCGAGGCTGGAAAAATGTTTGCCAAGTGTGCGGAGACAAGTGAAATTAGCTGCAGTTCAGCACATGTCTTTGCAAGCTGGCTTAGAGCATGTGGGTTCATTATGGGCAAAGTTTCACTGTTATGCAGCTTAGTAGCTAGGTACACTGCAGAAAAATGGCTTAACTCGGGAAAAATGTTCTATTCTTCTACTTTAACAATGAGTAAGGGGAAAATGCCACTTATGAAAGTGTAATAACGCCCACTTAAAAAGTTTCTTAGGGGCCACGGGCATTATGACACTGGGCGTTATAACATGCACTCTCATATAATAATAGGTTTAGCCGAAAGCCGTCTTTTGATACCAATTTAGCTAAAACTATCCTTTTACTTTCTTTATAAAAGCAACTCTTCCTATAGGAAACTTTTTAGTTTTCTAGTTTAGTTTTGTAAGTTTTTCTCTGAGTTCATAAGTTGATTTTCCCAACCCAACTCATACCATTCCATGCCGCATTTTCCGCATTTTTGGCCGGCTTAATTGTTAAGCCCTCCTACCAGACTCAATGGTTCCATCGACGAACCGAAAGTAAAACCCGGCTCAGTTTGGCTCCGTTCGGCTGCCGCTTCTTTCTGCACTCGCAGACAACTTAATTATGGTTATGTTTCGCCTCAGACATGCAATATAATTTTATCATTAACCACTTTGTCTGCCGCGACGAGAGCAACACACACTTATATTGTATTATTGTATCTGGATCTAAAGTATAACATACTTGTCGTTAATTCGTCATGTGCTATTTACTATTACATTTTTACTTTTCATTCCTCCACTTCAGTTGTGTTCCGTTCCAAGAACGGACCGTAATTGTTCAGGTCTGTACAAACAAACAAGTGCCGAAGTACCGAACCAGAGATATTCCAAAGAAATCCACGGAAGCCGCTTGGCAGACGCCTCGGTTCTCGATTCTTGGCACTCGATTCTCGGCTCTATTACTTCCAGTCTAGTCATGCTGAAGAACTCAGACAATTGCCTGTTTATTAGCGTATGTCTTCAATCCAAGTCTAACCTGATTTCACTTCGAGTTTCTGGGGGATTGAGACTGAGAAGTCCGATCTGTACCTGCCGCCCGATCGCCTTGCACTCAATGATCCGAAACATTTGGTATCTTGAGCTAGAGGGGTTTTAAATATCATATGTCTACTGTTTTAGATACCCCGCACTCAATACTGACATTGAGGGTCCAATTCGATAACCTTAATCATGTTAATTATTTTATTCAGGTCAATATGATAGTGTTTAATTGCTGATATGATAACCAGATCGACCTTCTAACCATTTCCCCTTCTAAGCATAACCCAAATAAATAATACAATATATTTCCTGGGTATTTCCAAGTTGGTACTCTGCACAGAATGCTTTTCTTAATTATGGCTGCAAGTCTAATGACTGTGTAAAAATGGACAAGGTCGTTTCTAATGACCTGCATATAAACAGAAACCTGTACTTTTCTAGTTTGGTCACGATTCGGCCATTAGGGCAGGGTTTACGAGCTACCCGGCAATTACAGAAGCAAACCAAGTGATCCATTTTATCTGCCTGCACTGAAACCATTTTTTGTACCTCTTTGCAGAGTCAACGATCGTATAATATCGGTGAACGGTGTCTCCCTGGAGAACGTGGAGTATGCGACGGCGGTGCAGGTGCTTCGGGATAGTGGCAACACGGTTCAACTGGTGGTCAAGCGTCGCGTGCCCCTGAATCCCATAAATCCTGGCGGAGCAGTGCAGCATCAGCATTCGCACAGCCTCAGTTCGGTGGGTCTGGTGGCCAATGGAAGTGGAGGAGTTCCTCCAACCCCCATTACCAACCTGAGCCAGCCCAACTCCCTCAACTCCTCGCTGGTGCAGAATGCCAGTGGAGGGCAGCCCATCAAGGTGACCCTGACGAAGGGCGGCAAGAAAGACGACTATGGAGTGGTTCTGGCTGCAGGCTGTTCGTCAAAGAGATCTCCTCCAAGGCCCGCGAGCAGCTGAATGCCAATGGTTATAGTCTACAGGAGGGCGACATCATCACCCGCATCCACAACACCAACTGCGGCGATACGATGAGTCTCAAGGAGGCCAAAAAGATTATCGATGGCTGCAAGGAGCGATTGAATCTAGTGGTTCTGCGGGATATCACAAACCAGGCAGCTGTAAGCCAACTGAATCTCAACAATTCGGCCAGCCATCAGGCGTCGGGAAACATATACGCCAGTCATCAGCCTCAGGTATCCGGATGCAGCAGCAGTAACAACAATCTGGAGGATCCCTATCTACCCGGTGGAGCCAGTTACTCCTCACAGAATCTGTACGTTCAGCCTCCAACTCGCACCTCCAATGGTCCGAATATGAATGGCAATGGTTGAATGAGGAGAAGAGTAATCTCACACCGCGAGGTCGCTCCCGGGACCTATCATGGATGGAGTATCCCTCCAGCAGCTGGACAGACCCGTGACCCCAACCAGGGGCCGAAGTGCCGGCATCGATGAACCGCCACGCCCACCTCCGCCAAGGGGAACGAGTGGTGGAGCTGCCCAGGAGATTTCTACAGCTCCCGGAGGCAACTCTACGAGGAACGTCAGAGTGCCGAGCCAAGATTCATTTCCTTCCAGAAGGAGGGAAGCGTGGGCATCCGGCTAACCGGTGGCAATGAGGCCGGCATCTTTGTGACTGCCGTTCAACCAGGATCTCCAGCCTCCCTACAGGGCCTAATGCCTGGCGATAAGATCCTTAAGGTCAACGACATGGACATGAACGGAGTGACGCGGGAGGAGGCAGTCCTCTTCCTACTGAGCCTGCAGGATCGCATCGATCTGATGTGCAGTACTGCAAGGAGGAGTACGACGAGGTGGTGACCAACCAACGCGGCGACTCCTTCCACATCAAGACGCACTTCCATTGCGATAATCCTTCCAAGGGCGAGATGGCCTTCAAGGCGGGCGATGTTTTCCGGGTGATCGATACCCTGCACAATGGGGTAGTTGGATCCTGGCAGGTGCTCAAAATTGGTCGGGGTCACCAGGAGATGCAGCGCGGTGTGATACCGAACAAATCGAGGGCCGAGGAACTGGCCACTGCCCAGTTCAATGCCACCAAGAAGGAGATGAATGCCAACGAATCGAGAGGCAATTTCTTCAGGCGACGACGGTGGGTTTAATAGTTTATTGTATGATCTTTTATCCTAATGTAACCTCTATTTTTTAACCCACAGCTCAACGCACCGCCGCTCGAAGAGTCTGTCCCGCGAGAACTGGGATGATGTGGTCTTCTCCGACAGCATTTCCAAATTCCCCGCCTACGAGCGTGTCGTCCTGCGTCATCCTGGTTTTGTACGACCTGTGGTGCTCTTTGGACCCGTTTCCGACTTGGCCCGCGAGCGATTGGCCAAGGATTTCCCCGACAAGTTCTCAACTCCTCTGCAGGATGACGACAAGTCCGCGGGAACTGCTACTAGTGGAAAGTGCCGAATTGTACGACTGTCGAACATACGCGATGTGATGGATCGGGGAAAGCATGCCCTCTTGGATATCACCCCAATGCGGTGGATCGTCTCAACTACGCCCAGTTCTATCCGGTGGTCATCTTCCTGAAACGGACAGCAAGCACGTGATCAAACAGCTGCGCCACGGACTCCCGAAGGCGGCCCACAAGAGCTCCAAGAAGCTGCTGGAGCAGTGCCAGAAACTGGAGCGCGTCTGGTCGCACATCTTCAGCACCCAGATCGCGTTGAGCGACGAGGAGTCCTGGTACCGAAAGTTGCGCGATTCGATCGATCTGCAGCAGAGCGGCGCCGTGTGGATGTCCGAGTCCAAGGTGAGTCCTCCTTCCTGTCCAGATCTCAATTCCATCCTAGTTGTTGTCTGCGTAATGTCCCATGTAGTTAGACCTTAAGTTCTAATTAAAACCCAAAGCATCTCGTGGATGTTGTGATTCATTTGATAACTTCGTAATATCTAACTTAACGATGTCCTAACTGTCCAAAAAAGGTGATGGGAAAGTAAAGTTTTCGAAACAGTATTAGATAATACAGGGGAGATTTAGGATTTGTATTTAAAATGGGATTCATTTATTTAAATATTTTTTGTACTCTTATAAAGATTTGATATCAAGGTCATAAGATATGAAATAACTTCTCTTCAAAGTGAACAGTTTTAAGAAATTGATTTACATTTAAAGATCTAATTAGTTAAGTAACTCCAAACAACACGAAAACTTTTTAATATTTACCAAAGAATATAAGTTTGTAACTTGCGAGAATGCCTTTTAAGAATAATTAGAAAACCAGTTTGAGTTTAATTTTCCCCTCCAACAAAACTTAAAATTATTTAGCACATTTAGAGGTCAATTAGCATAGCAACACTATAACAACCAATATATACCTACTTTCTTATTAAGTCAAGATACAGCTTAGAAAAAAAATGTTTTAGTTACACCAAAGATTTCCCAGCCTAGTAATTTAATACCCAATTATCTTGAACTAATTTTAAAACCCCTATAACTCTATAATTTCTACAAATGGTTATGGTCAATATTCTAATTTATACTTTCGAAACTTTTTCTTATTCGTTTTTTAAAACACACAACCACACACACACACATGAACTTACAAACATGCCCATGATTGTTGTCGACAAATCGTAAAAAATAAAAACATATTAACAGTTCCCCGATTCCCCCACTGAAATGTTATTCCCCCCCTACATCGCCCAGCCCTGCAAGTTGGCTTGCTGCCGTCCCATTTCATCGACCTCAGTGCCACGCTACTCGCAGAATCTCAATCTTAACCAGAATCCGAGTAAACCATATTCGCTAATCCAGGGCCAGGCCAACACCCTCCACCGCCACGCCCCCCGCCCGTGGGCTATGCCCACAGCCAGAGTTGGCCGAAAAACCCCGAGATAGGAGGTCCTATACCATGGTTCCGATCATAAAGCCCGCTTCTTCGATGCCCAGTGGCCTGGCACCCCTGTAGATCCTGCTCCCATAATGCCACTGGAGGATAATAACGATTCCCAGTACCATAGTTCTCAGCCAAACTAATGAGTCAGAGCTTTTTGAACTCCAATCTTAATGGGGGCAGTACAACGAATCACTCGAACATGGCGAGGGGCTTTCAACCCGGACCAGCTGCACAGGTCGGCCGCTATGGATTGCGAACCAATGCCCAGGTGGAACGTAGGACGACGCCCTACTACTACCACGAGCTGCTGCTGCAGAAGAATCTCTTCGACTCCAGTCTGAATCTTCTGCCCCAGCAGCAAGGTCAGCAGTTGGATCAGGCCAAGAGCAAGAACAGCAATCTGCAGCTGGAGCAGCAGCAGCAGCAGCATCAGCATCTTGCGGATGCATCGAATACAGGCAAAAGGGCACCGATGGCCAAGCCACAGCAGCGATTCATTAGCAATGGTCAGGGTAGAACCAATTACTCCTCCTCCTCGGGATCACTTAGCAATCTTCTCGGCAATGGCAATGGGTTGAGCAATGGTCATGAGAGCAGTGATGGCACTTTGGCGGATGAGGGCAGCTTTTCGCTGGCCTTCAATAATCTTCCAATCAAATTGCCAGTCTCAATAATTCAAGTAGCCTTAACAATAATAATTGTAGTACTATTAGTAGCAGCAGCAACAACAACAACAACAACCACAACAACAGCAACATTAATAATAATAACAATAATAGCCATGTTAATAATGCTGATTCCAACAACAATGTTGGCCAAATTAACGAATGCATTGCATGAGAATCGGTGTTAATTTAGTTGAAAGGGTTCAGGGAATGATTTTGGAGTTGTCTATATCATTCCCGTTGGGACACAAAACTTTTCAACTGAATCTCTCTATCCTTCCCAAAACCAAACCCATTCTGTGTGTAATAATCGCATGTAGTTGTTTGTACTAAATTATTCATAAGACCCGAAAATCCTCATGTAGCATGATCAAAACCATAATATTGTGTGTAGACCGCTACTCAATAAATATGTACATATAAATGTGTGTAATTGTGAAGCTAAAAGCATGTAGAGAGATCATGATACCATATAACCTAGAAAAAGAAATTGTCATTCCAGAGGGAAGAAGAAATTAAAAAACTTATTCTCTGCATTTCTTACACTTTAAAATACACCTGTATCTTTAAACATTTCAACTTTCTACCCCCCATGGAATGACAGTTTTTCACCTCCAATCCTCCAAAACTCACCATCAATATATCCAAAAATGAAATTCTATTTGACATACATATTTAGGCTAAGTATATACGCAAAAATCGCCATACAAATTTTTGCCAATATTTTTATAAAGTTGCTAACTAAATGTTTTTCGTTTCATTTGTTTCTTTTATTTACATACCAAAAAAATACCAAATATACATCATCATGGTCATTCCCCGCTTAATCACCCTTAAAACCCGATGCATATATTAAACCAAACACCACCAAAATAATCAAAATGTCCTCGTCCAAACTAAAAAACCAAACAAAATATATATTCAAAATACCAAATATCTTGTGTTCGTCCACACATTACGTATCCAAATGCTTCGCAATCGAACGCCGTTCAATCAATCGAATCGAATCAAATCAATCAACCAATCAATCAATCAATCATGATTTTTAATGTTTCATATACGTTTCTTGTTGCTGTTCTTGCGTTTTATTTACTATCAAAACAAATGTTGGTTGCTCTCAACGCGCTAAATTTGACATTCGAAAATCAACGATACAACCGCTAAAATTCAATTAACGCTCTGCGCCTGATCCGCAAAATACCAAAAAACCCAACCCCAGCCCGTAGAATCCCTCTCCGACGATTTCCTTTCCCCATGACCACATCCCGACTCTCGTATGCATCAAGTCCCGAATCCGATTTGGAACTGAGTCCGGGCCCATCCGCATCATTGTCGCTTGGCAATTTGCCGCAGTTGGTTAAAGCGAGCTCAGATCCATCGATTGCCACTAATCAGGATAACTTGGATAGGGATAGAGACATAATTGGTGAAGGACTACCACCTCCATATACGGTAAGAGGTCGAAAAACCGAAACAAACCTAAGAAACAACATGCAAAACCAACTCAAACTCAAACTAAGAAATAAACTTGGCATGCGCTTCCACTAAAAACAAATGCAAAAGATAATCAAACCAAAATTTAAACATTTTTCAAGCGCCTTAATAAAATGCATAAAATAACAAAGGTCAACAAAATCATTGGAATTATCATATGTTCCTCTGAAATTTTTGTTTTCCAAGAAATAATACATAGTTTTATTGACTTTTTGACCTATCTATTGACTAATCTATTTCGCCGCCCACTCACCAACCTTGCAATGCACCTGCCACAGGTACCCTATGACCATGGTGTCCCCGGGAATCCCAATCGCCGCCAGACCATGGACTCCAGCAATACAGCATCTACGGCACCAATGTGCCACCTCAGCCGCAGCCACCAGGCGGCGGAGGAGGAGGAGGAGTAGATCCGGCTGCAGTGAGGCCGCAATCCCTCTACGGATCAATGCCCCTGATCTTCCGCCCCGCATCGATCGTCAGTCCAACCGGGAGATATCCCCTGAACACCTCGGGTTCGTCATCGCGAAATGGAACCCTGGGTCGAAGTGCCCAGGAGCGTTGTTGGCAAGGCTGTGGTGCAGGACGATGTCCAGGCGGAGTACATCACCCGAAATGCTCTGGTCGGTGCCGGAGCAGCTGAAACCCTGGATCGCCAGCAGCAGCAGCAGCAGCAAACTCATGCCTCCCTGGAGCGACAGGCTCGTCTGAATGCCCAGCTGAAGGCCAATGGAGGGGAGGAGGCACCGGAGGAGGTGCATCCACCTATGACAGTGTGTCCAGCTACGATTCGTACAACAATACACAAATGGCCATGCAGAACTGGGCCGACTGGGTCCCAATGCACCCGACGATCTCAAATCAGTGCCAAATCAAGGTGAGCTTGTTATATATATATAATATATATCGTAAGTAAAAATACTAATTCGTCGAAAGTAGTAACAGGCAAAAAGCGTTCCGACCATAAAATATACTTGATCAGGATCACTAGCCGAGTCGATCTAGCCATGTCCGTCTGTCCGTCTGTCTGTCCGGATGACGCTGAGATCTCGGAACTATGAGAGTTAGGCTATTGAGTTTGGCGTACAGATTCCTGAGCTTCTTACCAGCGCAAGTTGTTCAGTAGACTGCCACGCCCCTACGCCCACAACCGCCCAAACTGAACTCCTACAGTTTTGATGCTAGATAGAAATTTTAATGTATTGTTCTCATCAATACCTATCGATTGACCTAAAAAAAGTTTGCCACGCCCACTTAAACGCCCACAAACGGCGAAAACCTGTGACGCCCACAATTTGGATGCTAGATGAAAAATTTGAACTGAAATGTATTGGTGTCGTCAATACCTATCGATTGATCCAAAAATAAATTTGCCACGCCCACTCTAACGCCCATAACGCTTAAATCTGTCTACCGCCGGTAGGTGGCGCATTTTAATTTCGCTTTGCTGCTTGCATATCTCCATTTCCCTTTGAGTAACGGGTATCTGATAGTCGAGGTACTCGACTATAGCGTTCTTCCTTGTTTATATATTTTATTTATATTTATATTATATATTATTTCAGTGGTCGCCCCTTGCCTCCGGTGGGTCAGTCACACGACTACGGCCGTACTCCCCATGATCATCGCAGTTTCGGAGGACCCAACGATCTGAACCGCCAGAGCAGTCCAGGCAGGCCGCACTATCATGAGATGAATGCGTCCCGTAATATTGGTAGGCTATCCTAAAAATCCAAGAGATTTACATTTAAGTTAATATAAATGATCTTTTCAGATCCTCGCAATGGCACACCACAGCGTCCCTCGAATCTGGGTTTAGAAAGCAGCCCGCGAAAGCCTTTGGTGGAGACCAAAACGGATTACGGAAAATACAGGTATGAACGATAAAACCTAATTAATTGTTCAGGATATCCCCAGAATTGTACATATCGCGAGGAACTTTTAAAAATATAAACCAACTACTTTACTTTCTCTTTTTCCTGCGACGTCGTTATTTTTCAACTCACTCGCATGCATTTGTCGACTGTGTCGTAAATATATTCTTTTGTATCTCTCTGAATATATGAATATAAAATATGAATATGTATTGTCCCTGGTCCATTAGACGCTATCACCTCCATGCGCCCCATTTGCAGCACTTGCATTTGATGCACTCGCGCTCACCCACGTCCTCGTTGTCGCTCTCACCTTCGCCCTCGTCCTTGCCCCTTCAACTGCCACCTTACACCCCCTACCCCTGCCCCTTCCCATGTCCTGCGGCCTTCAGCTGACCCAGCAGCAGCTCCTCCGCCTCTCCTCCGGCGGCTTCGATCGTCGTCCCATCGCCGCACCACGTCTGCATGCCCTGATGGCTCCACTGCCACCTCCTGCCCTGATGTCCAGCGCCTCGGCCTACGACACTTTGGTCTAAGCAACGAAATCGAAAACGAACTTATTTATTAGATAACTACGACTCTTTTTATATGCGAAAATGCACTAGAGATATCCTTTGATTGTTTCCTTAATTCTCCCAAAAACAACAATCGAAATCTGTTTAAAATTATATTTTACTTTTCAAAAATATCTTGTGTATTGTATTAGCTCCAAACAACCATGTAAATATATTTTGAGAGCCCAAAACCCAAAGTGCAATAAATGATATTCACACCTGTTCGACCCAGACTTTTGAATGCCCGTCTTAGCACTTTGAATATCTTTCATATGTCTATCACACATGTCCTTATAATTACAAAAACTTTTTCTCTTTCTTGCTTATGTTTTGTGCTCGCCATCATCAACTGTTTGTCCCAAAAAAAAAAAACACAATATCACACTCCCAAAAACCACTGCCACCCATAACGCAACTATATCACCCGATCCACAATCCCGAAAACCACATCAATCAGTCGCAACAACTCCGTCACGCAAGCGGATTACACCAAGCTACCGAAGACGGCGCCACATGGAGTGGTTCCACCTCCGAATGTGCCCAATGGTCAGAACCAGATGAATGGCAGCGGAACGCCCAGCAGCAATGGCAGTGGTCCATTTAAGCCGGTGCCACCGCCGAAACCCAAGAACTATAGGCCACCGGTGCAAAGTGGTGGCAGCAGTGGAAGCGGTGGCACCACTCCCTGGGAGAATGGGGTAAGTTTAACTTAGGTAAACTTTTTTGGAACCTTAACCATTTGGTAAATTTCTTTTAAGGACTCCGGTTCGCCACGTTCCCCCAACGGCTTCTATTATCCACCAACGCCCTCGCATCATCATTACGGTCCGCAGGCTACTCCGGGTTCACCCAGCAATGGACACATGCAACCACCGCCATCGCAGCAGCAGCAACCCACTATGGGGAAGTAATGGCAACTACGGACAGGCTCCACCACCTCAACCATATCCGCAGGCCAATGGCTACAATGGCAACAGTCACCACTACAACGGGGGCAGTGGCACAGGACCCTATATAGCACCACATCGCGGCATGCCACCGCCAATAGGTGAGTTATATCATCTGAGTGTTATTTGAAATAGATTTGACATCACTTGTTAGAAAAGTCAAGTCCTATCAAACTTTAATGTATTGCTTTCTAACGCCCGATTTCTCAATGTCATGTTAACTGATTAGAGTTAAATTGCTTTTTTGAAAAAATGTAATCTCTGAATAACTGTTACATCTCAGATATATAACGTGTGAATACCAACACTGTAATGATATTTCGTTCATAACCTAAACTCACATTGAGAAAATGAATTTGTTTTCTGAACGATTTAACTCTATGTAAGTTCCTAGAGATAATCAACTACAACCTTAACTGCATGGAGAATTGACCCAAAAGTGTCATTAAATTTTTTAAAAATATTCCCAAAATTCTAGAGATTCTTTAATAATACCCCCCTATACAATACCCCTAGGAAACCTACCGCCTCATACCCCTGAGCGCCATGCCCTGGATTTGGCTGGAAGTCGGGAGCAGCGTGGTTCGGCCTTTGAACTTTATCGTAAACCGCAAATCGGAGCTGCCGCCGGGCACCATCACAACATGAGGTGAGTCCATCTCTGATACCTGTAGCCCCTGAATTTTCCATCCCCCAGATAAATCCATTGCTCCTCCAGGAGTAAAATATCTTCCTTCCCAAACGAAACAAAAAAAATAATAAAACACACACACGATAAACATACAGAAATCTCTTTGATCCCCTCCATTTTCAACATTTGTGTTAACGAAAAATGTTTTATATTCTTGTTAAATGCCATTTTTGTACTTTACAATACTCTATCAAAAAACATCCAGTCAATCAGTCAGCCAAACAATCAGTCAATCAATCAATCATTATGCCAATCTATTCATAATTTCATACGGTTGCTGGTCATTACAAATTATTCGATGCAAAAATTTCACGAAAAACGCACAACAATGAAAACAGATCGCATATATTACATAATTCAAATAATTATTGTATTTTGCAATAACCAAAATTATTAACCAAACCATAAATTAAAGCTTAACAAAATTTGTAAAATGTTGAGCGCATCACGCACATAAAAAATGAAAACGAAAATAAAACATTTTTCGGGTTAACTTTACTTGCCATTTTTTACTATACAGTACAGAGTCGTATCCACATTTCTCTATTCTTAAACTCAAACTCGTACTACTACTTATTATGATCATGCTTTTAGCTGATTGTTCTTAAACAACTACTCTTAATAGATTTCTCGGGTATTTGAAAGTTCATCTTGAATCTAACTACGGTTTTGGGTAAATTCAACTTTTTTAATTAAAAAATAATAACTAACAACAAACTACCTTAAACTAAAGTGTAAACAACTGGTAAATGGTATTTATTTTTCTCTACAGTTTTGGTTAATTTGCAAAGTATTTAATTTTAATATAAGGATATATTATACATATGCGCTTCTTGTGTGTCTTGGCGAAAGTTTTGCAGGAATAAAATGCCAAGTTAGTCAGGGTTGTTCAATGTCTTACCTTCAGATTTAAATGATAAACGGAAGGAATCTTTAAATTTTTAGCCTGGTTTTTTAAGCTTTGGCGCAACATTTTCTTGAAACAAATTTTTCCGAATATACATTTTTTGTCACAGAAATGCTTGAATCGATAAATTCCCCAAAAAGATATAAAGCTATTTGGGTAAATTATTCTTAAAAAGAAGTTAAATATATTTGCGCATACTGTGTTACTTGGAAAAAATAAGTATTCGGTCTCGAACTTTTTGAATATATAAAGTAAGGTCCGGAGTATTTGTACACCACACAAAATCCCCTTGATCGAACCCATTGAAAACCCCTTGCTAATTACACACAAAACTTCCGAATCATGCAACGAACCTTTAGCGAGATGGAGCCGTACGATGAGCGTTACGATGATTACTATAACATGCCACCTCCTGCCGCCCATCCATCCCAAGGGCATCACATGCAGAGATCCCGCTCAGCGCCACGTTATCCACACGAGCGGCCGCCACAGGCCCAGGATCCCAATTACTATGGGCACTATGGAACCTCAGAGGTCATAGTCAGCCACGTCAGCAGTATCCCCAACATCATCAGCAGCAGCAGCCGCAACAACAGCAGTATTACGATGATCATGGCATGGAGATTGCTCCACCGCCACTGCCACCGCACAAGAAGAAGAAATCGGTGCTGAAGAGCCCACTGGTGGCCCTCAAGAATGCCCTGCTCAAGAGTACCAGGCCTCTGAGGAGGATGAACAGCATGGTGGAGCCGGAACGGAAGCCCAAGGGTCTGCGACGCCAGCAATCGATGTTGGAGAGGGGTGTGCAGAGACCCTACTATCCGGATGAGTATCCCACCTATCCGGCTGGTGGCTATGAGGGTTCCCATGGCGGTCAAGGCATGGCGCCACCCCATCCGCAGGATCCCTACTACCAAAGAGGTGGTCACTATCCGACGCAACAGCAGGAGATGATGAACAGTACCTACCAGAATCTGGAGAGTGAGGATATCTATGGAATATTGGGAACACAGTTCCTCGAATGCCACATCACCAGGACAATGGTTACGGATATGACCAATATGATCTCTATGCGAATCGCGCCTGCATCGATCTCGAGAGAAGGCAGGCTGAGGCAGCTGCGGCTCTGGTAGCCGGAATGGCAGAAGGATCGTTAGGCGTCACAGCACCACGACAGCGGATCGAGGAGGAAATCCAGGACCCGCGAGGAGACCCTTGATCAGTCCCGGCTACGAACAAGATCCCCAGGAGGTCTATCAGACCCGCAACGGAGCCTATATGCTGCCCGATCAGCGAAGGGCACCCAATTCCGAGGTGATGACCCGCAGGAGATTCTATCCGGGAGCGGCCAATGAGCAAGCCGAGGAAGAACCCCTCTACCAATCCCGTCGTGAAATGCAGCGGGAAATGCAGCGGAATCATCTGTACCAGTCGAAACGCGAAATGCAGGAGAGGATTAGCCAGGGCAAGAGGGATATGGAGCGGGAGTTTAGCCCCCAGAGCAGCAGCAGCCAGTCAGAGGCTCCAATCCGGAGGCAATTTACCAGAGTCGCCGGGAAGCTAAGGCCCAGCTAAGGGATCAGATCTATCAGACCAGACGGGAAGCCCTGGACAGCATGGCTGAACCGATCTATGTGTCCAAAAGGGATATGGGAAGACCGGCGCCCATTTACGAGTCCGGGAGGAGAGTATCCTCCAGTCCAGAGAGAATGAGACAGATGAAAAGAAGGAAGGCAAAACAGAGCAGATCCAAGTGGAGATCAATGCTCAGCCAGAGGAACAGGTCGAAGATTCCACCCTAAGCCGATCGGATCTGCAGAATCTTCGGATACGGTGATAGAAATCCGGCAAGGGCTCCTCTGGTTCAGGATGAGGTAGATGACGAGGAGGAGGATGAGGCTCAAGAGGATCAGGCTGAAGTTCTGCGGAACAGACAGAGCATCCAACGGCTATTGAGAATAACCAGCACAATGAGGGAATGCTGGCCAGTGAAACACAAAATGAGTCTGATGATGTATTTGAGGCGGCAGATCAGGTTCCTCCGCTGGCACCTCCGCCGGCTCCTGTACAACCCCCTACCCCTCGATCCGGCAGAGCTCCTTCCACATCTCGAATATCTAAAGCGAACAGCTCCCCCGCCGAGTTCCCCCATCGGCGACAGCTGCACTTCCATCGAAACCCAGTACACATCCCAAGCCAGCCTGCCAGTGGGTCCACCCAATGCCACCAGTACTCCGTTCAGCAGTAGCATGTCCCTGCCCATCGCCGGACCAGTGAATAACGCTCCTCCGGCCAACGGAGGACCCTTTCCCACCCTGCCCCGTGAGCCCAGCACCTCCGCGGTTCTTCGACTCCAACGGAGGCACTCTGGCGGATAAGCTGTGGCACGTCTCCCTGCAAATCCCGCCCGGAGCCATTCCGGCTGGAGTGCGTCAGGAGATCTACTTCACCGTGAGCGATCCCCGGATGGGACAAGCCGTCGGCGGCCCTCCGCTGGACATGGAAAATGGTTGGTCCCCCTAAGCAAACACACACACACTCTACTCCGTATTGTATCCATCCACCAAAAACCACCGCCACTACCACAAACCTCTTAAAAAACACGTGTCCACTGTCTTTGACTTTGTTTTTTGTTACAGCATTATTTAGTTTTTCTGTTTTTAATATCTATGTTTATCGTTTTTAAGCTTTTCTTAATGGTGGCTGGTGATTTGCCGTAGTTTAACCATTAGTTGTAGTTTTAATGTGATACTAACATGTAGTTGTGGCTTTTTGCATGTAATTTCATATACATTTTATTAAAACCTTAATTTTGAACACTTTCCAGCATTTAATATTATTTAAAGACCCATAAACAATTGTTTATGTTTCTATTCTCAATATTCCTAAAGCCTTATTTTCAAACCCCTTATATAGTGTTTTACAAAAAGCACGAATATTTCATGTTTCCCAACGAATGAATTCTATGCCTGTGCCCACTTACACTTCCTATAACACTCTTTAAAAAACACAACCCTAAATGCATTTACATAAAAAATAAATCCATATCAACGACTAATTATCTTATATTTGCCCTCGTAGGTGAGACAATGCTGTCACCGCTGGTGATGTGCGGCCCGCAGGGCCTTGAGTTCCTGGTTCCGGTTACACTCAACATTCCGCATTGCGCCGGACGAACTGCATCACTGGGACTGGCCCTCAAGGCGACCGACAGCGAGAAGAACCTGCACACCGAGTGGGACAACATCGATCTGCCCAGCAATGCCGCCGCCCACACAGTGTCCGTCAAGGTGGATCACTTCTAATCATTAAGATTCACAGCACTTCATAAGCACTCATCCCCCAACTTGAACGATATACGCAATTGTAAATAGATCCATAATACCATAATATATAAAATGGGCACCATAAAGGCCGCAATTCCAGGGCAAGCGAAATGAGCTCAGCAAAGAGGTAGAGATAGGCATTGCTTATAATATATTTAATTTAATTCAATATTGTCTGTTAATTGTGCCTTTGAGTGATCGTTTGGCTCTGCCTTTGAACTATAATGTCGAGCTAGAAATTAGTCAATCGAATGCAAAGGATATTTGTATAAAGCGACTAGTTTTTAGTTTCATAAACAAATTATTTTGTATATTTTAAATCAACCAATTACTATGTATTTTATATATTTACATAATTTTAATGCATTTTAAATGATATAACTATTTGACGTTTTATTAGATATTCGCATATTGTTTCGACCCTCGATCCATTTCAATTGCATTCAAATTGTTAATTGCGTGCAAGTATTGCATGCATCAGTTATTATATATACCATAAACATTTATAAATCGTAGCGATATCCTTAGAGCCTATACACGCGCCTGTATAACCAGAAAGAAAATCATACTATACAAATATTTATACGCATTTTTGTATTAAAGATTATACACACGTGGAAAGTTTGGGAATAAATAAAAGAGCAACAATAATAATAACAATGTGAAATCATTTATTGGAATTATAAAGGTAGCGTATTGGAAGTTCTTCTTTTCAAGTGGTAAAATATATATCATAAATCATATATCACTGTATTTAATAAGGTTCTCATTAACTTATTGCTTTTCAAATTCATTTTATTTTCAGGTTTTATATTATAATATAATATTTCATATTCATATGTACATATTCTTAAACCTAATTATTTCCCTTTAAATTCTGTCATTATTTGCCGCCATATTTGTCTTGCATTAAATCTAAATTATTATTATACCCTTCTAAATAATGTTTGACATATCGAAGCGTTGTGGATTTTCTTCCATCAGTTTGCACAAATCTTTTCCTAATGATGCTACAAACAAGTTATTATTTAAGTAGATTAATTTTAACGAAGGACATTTAACAGAAAGAAAATTATAATAATGTTCATAAATAAACCATTTCGACATTTCTAAAACGGTGACTCCAATATACAATGGTTTATCGTAAGTAATTTTAATCTTCGCTGACATAATTGCAGCCAAGTTATTGGGAAATATCTCAACGCCACGAAAATTATCTCTAGCAACTCGTTGCCTAAATCCCGGAGAATTCCGTCCTGACCGATAATGTGTCAATAGTACAATATCACAATGTTTTTCTACATTTTCTAATGACTTACCAACGACAAAACTATTCATTGACTCAAAAAACTGCCTTTCAAACCCATTTTCAGACAATTTTATTTGCGATCTATTAAAATCAACATATGTTTTTAACCAACTAGATTGATTAAAAGACAATACTCGATGTATCTTCGTTATGACTAGACCGTTTGTAAGCATAGTTGCAGGTGTTTCAAATGAATTATATAATTATTTTTGTCACTGAAATCGGCTAACAGTATTTATGATGTCCACCAGAAAGAGTTTGATTTTGAGGGCAGAAAGGCATGTCATTATGACTCCTATGAAGATGATTTGGATACTCGAGGTCTACTTCTAATATGTAACCCACATCTGCATCTGAAGATATTTTTTTGACATCGAACTTTTTAATTTCGTGTCATTTAAAAATAAAAAGTTTGAAAATGGTAGTGGCTGGCTCATTGCCCAATCACTTAAATTGTTTGCCTCTATGCTGGCTAAATAAGTAATGGGCTTTCTGGGATCGAAACTATTTAATAATTCATTATTTGCTGTGGCAGTCTCTTGGTTGCATTGAACAAGCCCCCTCTTACTGCGCTTTTTAGAAAAGATATCATTTCGGGATCACTAATTAAGTCCAAAATTATATTTGTTACTTTAAGCATCGCATCCCATGACATTGATGGAGCTGTAGAATAATTAAGTGGGTCTAGGTTATATACTTTTAGGCAAAGCCCTCTAAAGTACTCAAATACGTCTGCCAAAATAATGACATCTCTTTCCAAATATATTTTTAAGTATTCTCCAATACTTTGGCAATTAAAAATATCCCATACCTGACGAGCAGTTATATAATCTTGATGACTAAATGAATTGTTTTGGAAATAGAGAAAAACATCCTTTTCAGGTTGTTGTGGTTCTTTAAGTTGTTCCATACTTTCTAAGTAGTTTTGGGGGAATAATCTTTTTTGACACATTGGTTCAAATAGAACATCTTGATATTTATTCCCAAGATTTCTTAATTTTTTCTTGTCCAAGTAACTGAAAAGTTTTCTAAATTGTAATGCAAAAAGTTATTTAGTCTAAAAATTTAATTTGAAACCGATCACATCCATTGATCACATAATTTAGAATAAACATTGAGTACAACTCTTGATTGCTAGGGATGGGCTTCACATCTTTTCCCAATTCACTTAGCAATAAATTAATATCAAATCTCGTTAAATGATTGAACACTACTGGGAAAAAAGGATGTAAGAGCTTATACTTAGTTTTGCAGGCCTCATGGACAGGCCCCAAATATACTCCTGAAAATTGGTGAAAAAACTTATCCAAGTCGTCTGAGCGACTTCTTCGTTGCAGACACTGCACATTCCAGAATTCTGCATATATTCGTCAAAGGTGTCATTTTTTGTCTCTGGAAATTTCCAGTACTTGTAATAAAGACCGCGCAATTTATCCTTTAGTGTTTCGCAGAATTTTTTATGCAATCGGAACCTGTAAAATACGATTACTAAACATTTTTATTTTTACCTATCTGTTAATACTTACCATCAAACGTAAACATTTCGTTTAAATGAGGGTTATAATAGTGAACAATATAAAAAGAGGCAGCCCATGCTGCCGAGGATACAGGTTCCAAGGAAGACTCTATATCCGCATAGACCACAATTGGCGGAGATATGCTTTTTGGGCGCGATCTGAAATAGAGTTTGGTTTTTGGCATGGGGTGGATAGCCGCAGGTTCGTTTCCACAATCATGAAGTTTGTTGCTTTTCTTAGGATAAAATTGCAAACATTTTTCACAAAAATTTTCAGACATTTTTGCTTTTGAAAATTGAGAATAACATAGTTTGCACATGTTTGTAATGTATGCGTAATGCATAATTTCATTACTGGCATTATTTAATGCCAGCAAATTTAAATGACGGGATCTAACTTCCTTCGTTCTAATTGTTGGTCCAACGACGTTCTTTCCATCATCATCAACTTCATAAACATTAATGCTGAATTCCGTGTTATTTTTTTCGAACTTCTAATGCCTTCTATGCTTATAGGAAACTCTATATCAGAAAAGTCTAGTTTAACCCCATCGTAATAAATACGTCTTGGGAAATATCCAAAACCTTATAATGTGAAGGAAATGTTAACATTCTCGCTTATGTTTTTTTGTCGAATCCTTTTCAAAAGTTGTATTTTGAAATTGTAGAAATCCAAGATATGCCAATATACTCCATTTGAAGCAATAATGATCATTATTCCTTACGTTAATAATTGCATTTCGACTTTTTATCTTTGGAGGAGCAGGGATGAACCCTGCGGCAGGTGTGTGTTCCAATTTTATTGCTGTGATCTCAAAACAACTAAAACTTTTTATTGACAATCCTGATAATCCTTGGAATGTTGGAACTTAAGGTTGAAGATACTAAATAATTCAGTGCATCGGAAAATTGTTCGACGAGAGAATGAGTTTCGTATGCCGCCTTATATGGTGTAGCAAAATGCTTTACTAATTCCAATTTTTTATCCACTTCGGATTTATCATCATATAGCCCATATACCTTTAAAGTGAATTTAATGCTTCTGTATTCGCTCAGACAGTAGAGCAAAATTTTAAGAATATCATCATGGCACTGATCTATCAACTCGTGAAGGTCAAGTTTACTTTCTTTGGGGTAAATTCGATACGACTTTACGGGAAAATGTGACTCCATTGAAATGGGTAAAATATGTGCATTGTGTTCTATATCCTTGAGAACAGCAACTCTGTGTTTTTCTGATGTTATATGCCGCATTTCCATTTTTGAATTATAGATTTCATTGCAATCGTAGCACTTTATCTTCCAGTCATCAAAACTATTCGATATTTTAATTTTTTTTTCATTGACTAACAGACGATTGTCCTGCCATTTTAATGAACGTTTTGTTGATTTTGAAGAAGAATTTCTCATAATAATTTCAAAAGCATTGTTATGCCCTACACAACCTTCGTAATGAGTTTCGAATTCCACGAAGGGAATGTTACTGAAGCACAAATCACAAGTTATTATGGCTTCCATTTTGCATTTAAATGGGATTGGTTTAATTTCGTTTATTCACTGCCGCCGATTCGAGAAGACTGAGATCCTTTTTTAAACCGTTCCCATATTTATACATACTTAGGTAACTGAACTACTCTTTCTCCTAATGAGGTACTCATAAAATAATGAGCATATGTTAATTTCGGACCGAGCAGGTCATTCTGGTCATTTTTAAATACCTAAGTAAACATGGATGTGCAATGTGTGCATAGGTGCGGAATATAACACGAAAAAAACTGATAAAAAAGGGATACAGTATACAGGAGTGGAGATGCATACTGAAATTTGACAAAGACCACCATTCAAAGTGCCTATTATTATATATACACTCAATATATTTTGTATACGTACGTAAAAAACTTGCACAGAATATATGTATTTGCTTTAAGTGCACTGCTTCGCAACAAAAGCTAACAAAGACTCGCAAAGCACTTTAAATCTTACAGATTACATCGAGTTTACGCTTCTAGAGATTTGATTATTTAAAATATAATTACAAAACTAAGCAAAAGAAACAATTAAACAGTCTGATAGTCTGTTGAGGTCAAATTCCTACGTGGCAGGCGTGGCTTTTGCTTCGGGCACTGCTGTTGTTGGAGCTGCATTGGGTATTCCCGCCGAGGCGGAGGTCATAGAGGTGGTGAGGAGTATCTCCTGGTCGGGAATGACGGATACGGCCTCCTTCACATATCCGTAGATGTGCTTGCGCGTGTCGTTGACAACATCGCGCACCATCAACTTGAAAAGTTGGTATGCAGCGGCGTTTCCGCATAACGTTCGTACTGATCCAGGGAGTCCTGCAGCTTTAGGGTGAGGTCGTAGTTCTTGCGCACCACATCGAGTATTTGCTCCTCCGTGGGCGTAGAGAGGCCCTGTTCTGCCAACCATTCCTTGATCTTGTTCTGGAAGTGCTTCACAATGGCCAGGATGTTGACCAAGGCGTTCAATAGTTTGATTACATCGTCTTTGTACTCGCACTCTCCCATCGTTGTGTAGCGAAGAACTAAAGTTAAAATGATTTTTTTTTTTAAGTATTTCATAAAAAGTATTGCAGGACCTTTAAAACTTACCCATTGCATGTATTTCTGTAAAGACCTTCTCCTCGCGGTTTAGTTCATAGTAGAGCTCATCATAGCTATTTGTGGTGGCCAGGAAAGTGTCGCCGTACGTGATAAACAAATTAAATATGTTCACTACCTGCAGCGACAAATGGAATATGTTGCACTTCTTGACCAGCGTCTGTTCTGGTTGACCAGGAACCGCAGAAGGCCAATCAGCGCCGACCAGAGTTCCTTCCACGGATAATTTAGCCGACTCGGCATCTCTTCTGGTAGCACAAGATCCGATGGATAACACCAATGCAAAGCAATACAATTCCATGGGGAACTTCTTCATCAAGTGGGAAACAATAAACTCCACCAGCAGATCCAGTAAAGTGGCAGCCAGAGGCTGGGATTTGCCCACCCGATCACATTCAGCTTGCGATGACGCATCTGCGCCCGATGGAGCATAACCTTGAATGTCAAATTGCTGTCGTGCATCATCGAGTTGGCGTACTGATCCTCCGAAATGCAGGTGAGGATGAGGAAGCACAGCTTCAGATTAGCAATACTCGACTCGTTCTTGTTGTCCTGCATCACGATGGAGCAGTATTGAAAGACGGCCACCAGCAGATTAGTGGGATACTGGGTAATGTCGATGATGGGTGCATTGGATAAATCCGGCACTGGTTGGGCCAGACTCAGAGTGTTACTGGGCGAGGGCGGGGCACTGGACTCCGCCTGCGTGTGGGCCAGAGTTGTGATAAGTTCTATTTAAGTGCACTGCCTCGTAGAGGGCTAGTAGTAGGCCATTATTGGCCTTGATCTGCTGCACCCGTTCGCATCCTTCATCCGACACAAACATGTTGCCCACAATATTCGACAGTGATGAGAACCAGGAGGAGGATTGCACATTGTTTAGGCTTTGAATGTACTGGCGACAGAAGTCAATCAAGACTGTGATATCATTTGGCCGTAGCTGGAATTAAGATAAAGTTTCGTTACTGTCGAAGAATGATATGGGAGCGCGTGGCAAGATATCTATTATCTATTTAATGACGTCAGCCAGCAGCTGCTGGTACATAAGTAAACATGGTTTGAATCACCAAGGGTAAAAATGTTGGTTTTCTTTAAGTTTTTAATATTCGTACGTTTACCAGATCTACTCACCCATTCAGGGCCAGCTCATCGGCGAGTATGGAGAGCTGCACCACGTAGGGATTGGTGGCCTCGTGCTTCCGATAGTTGACCAGGATTGTGAGCAGGATGACGATATCGTGGCCATGCTGGGAGCGGAACGTAGGATCGCTTAGTAGTCGGACGAAGGCGTCGAACATGCTGTGCATCATCAGGTGCTCGAAGAGGGCGTTCTGGTTGACATTGTCCGTGCCCGTGACCAGGACCTGGAGCAGTTTGAGGCACATGAAACGGGCGTTCTCGGGAACATCGCCCAGCAGGATGCGATTGCAGTACTGCATCAGCAATTTCAGCCACTCGTCCATCTTCTCGTGGCCAAAGATCTCGTTGAGGATGTTGCAAGTGGGATCTGCGTTGGACTTTTTGAAGATTCCGTAGAACAGGGAGCACAGCGTTTGCAGGCTGTTGCAGAGGCGCTTGGGATGATCTTCTGGGGGAATCAAAGAACATAGATGACGTCCGGTATATAGATAAAGGTCTAACTGGTCTACCCGTGTCCAGCATTTCGATGCACCTCTGGAAGAGGGTGTTCAGATTGGGTTTGACCAGCTGCAGCTGCTCATTGTTAAGTTTTCCGATCTCATTCTCCAGTGCTTCGAAGTTGGGCTGCAGCAGGAAGAACTCGTTCCAGAACTCGGGACTCTCGCTGCTGGGATCCTCGCCCCGGCACAGCAGTTCGTAGATGTAGACCACCTGCAATGAAATGAATCCAATTAGCATCCAAATCACGAATCACCAAGGGCGGAGCTCGGAAAACCCCGGGACAAACCTTCTCCTTGGGCCTCTTGGTGGAGCCGCTGCCACTTCGCTTGCGTGAGGTCATGACTGGATGTGGATTATATCGACCTACGGGATTCGTTTCAGAAACTCATAGTCTGCTGCAGTAAAAATATGGGAAGTTGGCAGAAATAGAGGGCAATATTTAACTTGGTGATTAGGGTGCGACCGTAGGTGTGGGCCGACGAAATACCAACCAAACGGCCCTACTTCAGTGCGGCATTGCCAACGCAAAGTGTGATGCAAACTGTAATTTATACATTACTTATTTATTATAACGGTTGTTTTTAAATTGAGTTCTTAATAATAAACTTATTTAAATGTAGTAGTTTGATAAGAATAACATTTTATATTAGTGAACAATAAATAAATAATCGATTACCTATCGGTACAGATATTTGTTGGCTTTCCACTTCAACCCGAAACGGTCACACTGTCCAACAGCTGATTTTAACACGCAGTTGCTTGTGTTTTTCCGTTCTCTTCGAATTTCACAACAATTGGTCTATTCATTGATTTATTTTAGTGACAACCACTAGTTCAGCCTAAAATGTCTCTGGTTCGAAATTCCTCCCGGCTGCTGCAATCGACGTTGAAGCGTGTGCAGAGTGTGCCGGTGGCATTATATCACGAAAATGTAAGTTTAGACACCCCCCATTTGCAAATGCCGCCGGATGGTTCTTTCGTAATATCTAGAAGCTGTATAATATAGAAAACAGTGACTTTGTTGTCGTTTTGATAGACAGCGTTTCGAGCTGCACGCAAAGTGATAAGGCCGATAATGGAATCCCAGTGACTAACCTACCTTTACACTTCTACCCACAGGTCGTTGAACACTACGAAAACCCGCGCAACGTGGGCTCGCTGGACAAGAAAGACGTCACTGTGGGCACCGGCCTGGTCGGAGCACCCGCCTGCGGCGATGTGATGAAACTACAGATCAAGGTGGACGAGAACGGCAAGATTGTGGATGCCAAGTTCAAGACCTTCGGCTGTGGATCGGCCATCGCCAGCAGTTCCCTGGCCACCGAGTGGGTGAAGGGAAAGTCCATTGACGAAGCCGGCAAACTGAAGAACACTGACATCGCCAAGGAGCTGCGCCTGCCCCCCGTCAAGCTGCACTGCTCCATGCTGGCCGAAGATGCCATCAAAGCTGCCCTGGCCGACTACAAGGTCAAGCAGCAGAAGAAGGAGGCCATCTAGGGGGGGCGGAATGGAATCTGTGAATGTAGTAGAGCGCATCTCTGAACAACTACTAAAAAAACAGCTATAAGTAAATTACAATACAATACAGTACCATATACTATAAACATACTTGGCATTAGGTCGTAGTATGCGATTATTCGCTAGAGCTCTGTGAGTGGTGAGTCAATTAGTGTAAATACAGTGGAAAGCGGTTAAGATAAACTGTTAATGGTAATGTTTTTTATTTTGGAATCATATACGAAGGTAATCTGATAGTTCATATATATTATATATATATTTTCCAATAACAAGTTTTTCTCAACCAATTCCCACTGCTCTTGAACCACTCAACTGATTAACACTCTGATTTTGATTGCAGATTGGCCGCGTGACTGCTGATAGGTGCATAGGAGTATAGGATACGACATTCATTGATACTGACGGATAGCTGGAACTGATCTTGTATGAATGCATGTCCACGTGTGTATTTTAAAGGGGAATTCTATGTAATCCCATGAGCTAATTAAATTGTCTGTTCTGTTATGCAAAATATAATCTTGCTTCGAAAAAAATAAAACATTCCCGTTGGAATAAAAAGTACATGAATATTTTATTGCACCGTTAGTGAAAGATGTTCAATAGTAAATACGAGTTGAGATGGGACTGCTACTGGTTCTTAGGATAGACGAACGCTCACTCCGCCGCCGCACTCGCCCTTGGACTTCTGCTCGAATGCTGTGAATGGATTAAATCGGATAACATTCTACGTGAATACAATTAAGGATCTCTTACGGTCGTCGGCGTGCTGGCAGTTGTAGTTGGACAAGACGCACGGGCTGCCAAAGGTGATGAGTCGCTCCTTGCTGCTGTTCTTGGCCTTGGCGCAAACGGCTCGTAGACTTCACCGCAGTTCCGCTGGCAACTGTTGGTTGCCGGCTTCTTGGTGTCCTTGGCCGGAGTAGCCAGGACGAATGCCAGCAGGCACAGAGCTGAAAGAAGATGATAACGTTAATGTCGGAGGACTGCATCATTTGTAACCACTTTGTACTACTTTCATTTTTAACTTTACTTAATCTGCTCAAATTTTATTTGAAATTTAGATTTTAAAATTTAGATTTCCTAAAACAAATCAATATTTGTAGTCCAAAATTAATTTGTTCTGTATGATTATTCATTTTGTTTCTTGTCTTAATTGATATTGAATAGCTTTGTATTTTTGTATGAAGTGTATTCTTCTGGATTAGTGATTGCTAAGTAGCTTATCTGTTTTTGCTCTCGATCCCTATTAAGGTTCTCCCTTTTTATTTTTTATACCAATACCAAACTATAAAGGGGTATTTACCTAGAAAAGCAAACAGAGCGAAACGCATTTTGAATAACAAACGATATTTCCACGAAATCACAAATAGAATAAAAACTGTTTGACTTTCGCAAAAACCGGCTTCGAATCGCGTTAGAAGTGAACTGAATTTTAGACAACGAGATTGATCACCTTATATACGAAGCCGGGCTCATGAACAATAGAAAACCAGCACAGATACAGCTACAGAATTTACCTATAGATGGACAGACAGGCGACACATATATGATGGGAATCGTATCTCTCACCTCAACCCACACAATCGCGGATTGATGGGTATTAAAAACAGCCAAGTAAACATAAAGTGCACTTGTTTATATGAGTACCGAGCCAGCGGGATAACAATGGCGGGTCAACGAGATGATAATGATGATGCTGTGGCAGAACTGCCCCCGCTGGACAGCAATTTGGATAGATAATGGGTTTGATCAGGCTGGATCTGAGCTTGGGCGGGTTTTGAGTGACACGCGTCGCCGGTTGAAAGCGGTTCTCATTACTTTTATTTTATTTATCCACTTTGTGGGGCATCCCACGGTGACATCCTGAAAATATATACATACTATACTGCCATTTGTCTCCTATCCACACTGTAATCGCAGAGAAACCAATTTTCGAATCTCACAAAAATATGGCGTATGGCTTCCATTCCAAATTTATATAATTTTTAATTGGTCAATTTCACTTAAAAGATGTCCGAAATATTATATGGTCGTATTTTTTCTCAGTTCCAAAGATTGTGTAACAGTGATGCAACTGCAACCCAAGACAATAAAATTATAAGGGGGTTTAATTCAATTTGATCGTCAACCATTAAAATTAAGTTATTATGCCCAAAAATGGGGAAGTTGACAAACTTTAATTAGCCCAATTCCGTGTTTGAATGACTCAATTTTAAATTGCAAACGTGCCCCCTAAAGAACGTGATATGTCTATGAATCAAATTTGTTTTCACTTCACATTATCTTAATGCTTGTTTCTTATAATACTTATTGTTCGTCATTAATACAAATGACTTTGGAATAAAAAAGAGCGTTAATAAAATAATAGGATACCGATTTTCACTTTATTTCGGAAAAACTAACGTAGAACAGAAACCTTTAATGGAATAAATACTTTCTTATAATTGGATTCTATTATTCTCAAAATATAACATTTCTATAGAAATACAAAACAATTTTTACGAAACATATCTATACATACAATTTATGCAAATAGGTATATAAATACCCGATTTAGAGCTAATGGCTTTCCAAAAGGTACGACAGCTGTCATTTTATTACTTGTTTTTAATTTAGCGCGCTTTCGGGTTTTCAAAACAGCAGATGTGACAACTCTAGAGGTAACAGTCGATAGCAGGTAGCGGAGCCCGAACCCAAGGGTTGCCCATAATATTTCGATATTTAAAATGTATACATTGCCTATAGTGCTGTCAACTTAGCTATTTCCCCACTAGATCTAGCCGTTTTTATTTCGAAAACAGCAATATAGTGGCTAGCTGGAATCATAGCTATTTCGGACTACACCGGAAAGACAAATGCTCACTAATAGATAAGTTAGGGACAAATCAGATCTATTTAAATTACGCTGCAACAGATAGTTTAACGACATTTATAAGTTCTCTAAATCAAAAAATTACAAAAGAAAATCCCTAAAAACCATGTATTGTAATATTTTTCCATACGAAAACGTATATAAAACCACATTTCAGCATCTCAACCCTAAACCATTACCAATTTAGCGTTTTTAGGTAACATACAATTTTCTGGCTGTTTCTAACTACTTTCAGTGACTTATTTAGCTTTTAAAAACCCCGATGAGCTGGCAACACTGACCGACGCCGTATATAAGCCCGGGCACTCGCGAGTATGTGTGAGTCATGGTGGAAAATTCGAGGCAAGCGTACCGATGCGCAAAGAACAAGAATAAGCGAAGAAGATAAAGATATCGATTAAAATTTCTGCTACAAAAATAAATATATATGTAACGCATATTGTAAATGTCCTAAGTTAAGTGATATAAATCAAATATTTGTGTAACGTTTAATATTTTAATACGCGTCGGAGTACAACGAGTGAGGCTACAGAAAGGCACACGAAAACGGAGTACTTGGCGAGCGAAGTAACGGATGAATACAAATTCGAAATAAACGCTGCGCAATAGACGGTGGTGTACATAAGAGTTTAACTAAATCCGAATCAGAATCAGTTGAAAGTGTGATTTTTTTGAGCCTTTGTCTGTAAGTGAAGAGAAAGCTTTAAGCGGAATTACATCTATATATAAATATATAAATACGAAGCCAGCCCGTCGCCATTTTGAAAGTGATTTTACAATACACACACACATATATACACAGCTGCGAACACATACACACATAATAAAACCCCATCTAGAGTCCGAAAAAACAGCAAAAAACGCAAACCAAATCAATTTCCCGCAACTTTTAAAGTGAACCAGCTAAATCAAGGCAACTTTTAACCCAAACTCAACCCATTTTGTAAATAACGCTTGTCGAAAAATCGGAATCTGTATAACGAAGTGGCTGAGAAAACTGCGACACACACACGCACACTCGTTGGTGTGAGAAGGTCTACGGCAAAAAAGTAAGTCGCAATTGTGTTGGTTATCGCCGAGTGTGTGTATATATGTATGTATGTATGCTTGCGTATGTGTTGATTCATTAATTCAGGTATTCTCGCAAAATGTGCATATGTACATAAGTATGTATATGGGTTTCGTCCCGCTGACGTCTACTGTTTGCGAGAATAGCCAAACAAACACCTTTTGTTGACGTAAATAGCACAAATGTACTGCTCACATACAGACACTCGGTCACGATAATGCAGCCGTTACGTAGTTAGCACTACGTTACAGGTTGTTGCTACCTGGAAATCAAATGGTTACATGTCTTATTTCCCCTTTTCGGCTTTCCCGTTTCTTATTATACACACAAAAGCGGTCAGCATAATAGAACTACTTTGTATTACCCATGTACTGCAGTTCTTTTTTCTTGTTCAAGGGTTTCAGGTAAAAATGGGTTGCCATGCTGAGTAGATTCAGAGGGTAAAATGTACCGTTCAATAAGATTTTAACCCTCTATTGACTTTCCAATTTGACGACACATTTTAAAGTTATATTTCAAGAAACAGGGATACATTTCTTCAATGGCATAATTTGTTTTCCGTATTTATTCAACTTTTTCAATCAGCATTATATAGTTTTAAAATGGCAGCCGTCGACTTTTCCTCAGATATTTTAATGTAGTTTGGTTCAAGTCTGTTAATAGTTTTTTAACCCTCTATACACTTTCAATTTGGCGATGCATTTTAAGTCATATTTCAAGAAACAGGGGTACATTTTTCCAATCGTATAATTCGTTTTCTGAATTTATTCATCTTTTTCAACCAGCATATATAGTTTTAAAATGGCAGCCGTCGACTTTTCCTAAGATATTTAAAGTAGTTTTGTTCAAGTCTGTTTAAATAATAATACACTCAATTAAAATAAAATCTTCTGTAATCACAAGTTTTCTTTCCTTAAAAGGTTCTCAAATATATAGTATTTTAGAGTTTTAGCTACCTAATATTAATTTTTATGAAATTAAAGACCATACTATCAATCTATTATTTTGACTCATTTCATACACTTTCCCAATGTATCCCATCAAATGCTCAATGGTTTCCTTTGCTTTTCTCATTTCTCCCCAAAAACAGGATCAGCACGGCTTGGAATGCAAGAGCAGCAGTTGAATCAGCGGAGAACAGAGAAGAGTTTGCGAAATTATAGCTAAGGATAGCTTAACCAGAGTAAAGAGATAAATCAACAGACTGATAAACAATACATAACGTTACAAGTAAAACTAAATAAAGTAAAGTAAACAGCAGCTGTACATAAACATAAAGGCGAGAAACAGAATCAGTAACGGAATCAGAACCAGGAGGAGTGGAAAAGCAGCTACGTGCTCGGCCGCCCGTCGCCCTTTTTGTTTTTATTTTGGAATCTTTGAACTTCGGAGGAGGGCATCTCATCTTCGGCGATTATCAGCAACCAAAGAAAACAGAGCGGCGCAGCTAAATCAACATCTCAATAGCAGCAGAAGGAGTTTGGTTTCGATTTATAAAGAATTGATTTAAGTGCGTGTGATATTTAACGTTAAGCATTAATTTAGCGAAATAACCAAAAACAAAAAAGGCAAAACAGCAGAAATTTTAATAGGAGAAGAGATCGGAAAGCGACGAAATTACTATGACATACTCGCACAATAGCGTTAGGAACAACATCAGAATGACAACCGCATCGGCCACCAAGTCCATACGATTAAAAAAGGGAGCATCATCATCAGCGAGCTCCGCATCCAACTCATCCACCCCCTCGCCCACATCCGCACCCGTCTCCCCTACATCCGCATCCGCACCAGCAACGCCCTTGGTAACTGCACATTCCAACAGTATTGCCAGCAGTACAAATAACACCCACTTCCTGAGCTCCTCGCCCACGAATCTGGGCCTGGGTCTTTCCTCCCTGGCCACGCCCCCCAACCAGAGGCTGCGCCAACTCCAGTCCCAATCCCAGTCGACCGGATCCAAGAGCAAGCAGCAGCGCCAGTCGCCGCCGCAGCAGCAGGGATCCACTGGAGGCGGAGGAGCCTTCTTCTTTGCCAACAACAATCGGCGGAACGGAGGAGGACGTTCGCCACCGGGAGCGATGCAGGTGCGCCAGTCACCGGCCACCATTTTGGGTGGAGGCTTCTCGCCGGGAATCGGAGGAATCGGTGGATCGGCTCGCAAGCAGAGGAAGAGTCCCCCATTGGGCGGAAAGATTTCGCCCCAGCAGCAGATGCAGCAGCAGCAGCACCCACTCATACCCACCGCACTGACGCATTTCGCGGGCAGCAAGTGCTTCGATGCACCAGCTCCAACGGCGCTGCCCAAGCCGCCTCAGCACTGGACACTTTCCAGGTCGGAGGGAAGCTACCCATGATGATGCCGTCGATGCCCAAGTTCCAGGTGCCGATGCAGACGGGCCGCTCGAAGCGGAACCTCCTCGACGACTTCGACACGCACAACCTGAAGCTGCTGCTCAATGTGCAGTCGTAACCCCCTGGTGCTGGAGGATCAGTGTCTGTAGCAGCGGCGCAGAAGCAGGAACAGGATCTGGAGCAGGATCCGGATCTAGAGCTGGATCCGAAGATGGATCTGGAGGACCGACTTAAATGGCTTGAACACCCGGTGGACCCCGAACCCGTCAATGAGTTGCAAAAAAAATCGAAATGAACATAAAACAAACAAAAAAATTTAACAAAAATATAAAACAAAAAATGCAAAATGAAAAAAAACCTTTAAAAAAAAGCGAAAACATTTCAACTGGAAAATTGAACTTTTTTAAACAAAAACAAAAAAAACAAGAGTAATGTTTGTGATCTCAAGTGTGTATCATGAAACAATAAAACAAATTTGAGAAGCTATAAAGAAAGAGCGAAAAACTGTTTCAAGGAAAGCGGAAAGTAAACAAAATACAAATACACACAAACAACTGTCCTCACACAGCCGACCGATGAAAGAACATCAACAACGACAAAGAGAACAAATAAACACAGCAAAAAGATGCAAAATTCCCCGCTACATAGCTATAGATCAACCCCAACCCACTGTCAACTTCAATGCGCAAACTTAATAGAGAAGGCCAATCGACAAGCTGCAACCAGTACAACAACCCATGGATGCCTGGCTAAGATACACGAAAAAACCAAATGGAATGAAGAGGACAAGTCGAGTTAGAAGTCGAGTAGAGGAAGGAGAACTTTATATGTCTAACAACGGATACTTCACAACTGAACATTGTTTTAAACGTGATACGCAAATAGACTTGAAAATTAATTAATAAGTAAAATTATAAATATAATAATATTTATGAGTAATTCAAAAATGGACGCTAGAAGCGCAACATAACGTACAGTTTATGTTTATCCCCCGAAAAGCGGACAAAATGTGCAACGTACCTTAAATGTTGATAACGATGATGAAATGCGGAGGGCAGCAAAAGCAAACAGAGTATATTCAAGAGACACGATAATAGATAATACCTAAACGCTAATATAATAATAATACAACTACTATAAATCGTATACCCACCAAATCACAAAGACTAATTCAAACAAAAACTCAACGACAACAACTCAACGCAGCCGCCGCAGCAGAGCAGCAGCAGAGCCGCAGCGCAAAATGCATTCAACTTGCCTAAAAACAAAACGAAACGAAACAACATCTATAACTCTCCTCTACCTTAAGATATATTGATCCACTATTGTATTGTAATTTTGACCTACCTAGATACTTCCATTACTTTTAGTTTTACGTCGCGCGAGAGAAGCAATTGCCCAAAAATACTGAGCTACATATGCGAACATGTGTAATTATTCTTAATCTGTAATTGCAAATGGCTTTAAAAAATTCTAATTTAAACATTCTTGAATTGTACATAGAAGGGAACAAGGCTAAAATGTTCAAATAAAATTTTCTAAAAACGATAAATCGATAAACGATACAATAAGAATAAGATCGATCAGCACTTGTAAATGTGGTAGCGCGCAATCGGCGCAAGCAAGATTTTATTTATTCCAAAATATGTTTGATCTTGCGCCAAGCGGAAACAATTGTGAAAACAACTAAAAACTATATAAGTTGCAATCCCCAAAGCCAAGGCTTTACGAGAGAGGAAAAGATATAGATATCGCAAGATGAGGATGAAGAAATGAAACTACTTTATGTAAACTATTCGTTGATGCTCAATACTGAAACACTTGAACCCAGTACCTTATTTTCATTATTAGCATTACTTATTAATTGTTAACATTAATATGTATGTAAATTATTTAAGCAACAATCCCATAAACCCCCCTCCCATACTTCCCGATCCTCCAAACCAAACCAATCCAAAGTTATTTGTATTTTGCGTAGAAAGAGGCAGCGAGCGTGAGTTTTGTTATGTGTTTTTGCCAAGTGAATTGGCGCCGAAGTGATAAGCCAAAAACAAAAAGAACCCCAAAACGTAATTGATAGTTGAAACCCCCCAGAAATAAGAACACACTTGAGTTTTGTTTACGCATATTCTTTAACTTCCTGAAACAGCTAAATTATGAGAGAAAATAGAGAGAGAGATGAAACTATAACAAAACACTCGATGATAGTTTTAAAAATGTTGAAAAGCCAAAAAAGTCAAGTACTGTTTAGGTTTACTGAGCAAGTTGTCATATATTGGTAGCTTTAAAGCTTGTATCTTCAAGTTACACTACAAGTACACCCCATACATACATACACCCACTACTTAGAGTATTGAACTGAGCGGAGGCCACTCGAGCAGTGCTCGGAAGGTCCTCAGCTCGCCCCCATTACCCCCCGCCCCATACAAAAAATACACACCCCACAGAAGAAGTCTAAACTTGTCGCGCAGAATTTTGCATTTTTTTTAAGTGTAAGCTAAACGTTTGTTACTTACTGGACGTCAATTTAAGCCGGGGATCGGCTTAGATTTCATTGAAGCAGAAAAGATACAAAAGCCTATTTGTAAATGATAAATCAAAAGAGAAAACCATTTAAAACAGACCAAAACAGGGTCGAAATCCGCCTGCACTGCCTTGGTCTGTGGGCACAAACGTTCCGGCCCGCCGACTTTTTCAACACCAATCAGTACAAATTAATTTCCATTTCAAAGTTCGGAGCCCGCAACAAGATCGCGGAGCTCTCCATGCGAGTCCAAGGCGTTTGTGCCCCCATCCAAGGCAACTACGGAACCGACCCCTGAAAAGAAATTCAAATTCATTTTTATTTACATTTAAAGCGTAACGACGACGATTCGACCAAGTTCGAATATTACTTTTAACCTCTTTATTTAAGCCGAAACATGATTCGTCGTTCTAAAAACAATGAAAAAAGAAAGCAACCAAGCACTATGTATTTTTTTAATTTCTCCATTGATCTAATTTACAATTTAATTTGCAATTTTTTGTGATACTTTGCTATATTTTTAAACCTGGTATATATACAAATTAAAAACAAATACAACTGAAGAGAAAATGTTTAATTAATTACCCACACAATTACCTTAAATGGACCATATAAGATGAATGCGAATATGAAGAGCACACTCGCCATTCAAGATTGTAATTATAGAAACGATTGTGAATAAAAATCAGAGAAAAATTGTCAAGCAATATTGGAATTGTGTTAAATCCATGTCAACTTTTATAATTTGAAAAAAAAAAACGAAAGAAAACCCCACAAAACCAACCAACCAACAAGAAATCAATAGAAAAAAAACAATAAACAATTGTACACGGCTTTCGTAAAGTAATTTATTAAAGCTTTGTATAATTAACAAAAAAAAAACCTCAAATTTGTGTTTTTATTTGCGTTATCACGTACCATTTTTCGTTGGCAATTTTATTTTCAGAGCTAATCGGCAAATCCCCTAGATTATACCCCCCACCACATTCCAGAAGAGGCGAACAACATGTGCTCCGAAAAATTCCACTACCGAGGTTCTCACATGTTTTAGTTTGCGGCACGAATTCTAACCGAGAAATGAAAACAGAACCGAACCAGAAAAAAATTTAAAACTAAATGCGCTGAACTAGGCGATCGAAACAAAGGCGATGTGCATATACTAGTATGCATATATATATAAAAATGCAGCTGCATTTCACAAACACCCAGATATATAGCGACATACGAATTAAAACGAAACGATAAGCAACTTTACAGAACCCAAGGGGTGAAATACCCTGACGGGCACAAAAATCTTTCCAATTCCGTTTCAATGTGAATAACTATCCTGATTGTTCCTATGTTAGTTCTGCATAGATGCCTAAATCTTTGTGTAATAATAATCGGATTGGCAGATCCATAAACACTTAAACGATAAGTGCGAATTGTCATTGTGAGTTGAGGAAATTTATATACGACACATTTAAGCATTTTATAGATTCTTACACAAGCAGTCAGCATGATAACGATAAATGTTTAAAGGTTTTACTACACCACTTCACAAAATAGATACATGAATGTATAAAAAGTATATATATATATTGATATGAGACCAATAAGATCATACCAAGAGAGCTCAGCAAGCATCAAAGTCAAGTTAAAACTTAAAAAACCCACAATGGCCTAACGATCAAACAATCAATGTGTAAATCCCCTCCCAAAAGCACCCCAGCCAGTCATAAAACCCCCAAATCCCATTCCACACCATCCATTCCCCAAATCCCCTAAAAAGTGAACAAAGAGATAAAAATATTTTCAATGGAACCCCCCAAGAGATTTGGATGCAGTCTAACTTCGTCAGCTCGAGAATCCGAAAATCCATTAAATAATGACCATTTTCAGCACCGCTCTTACGCTTTCAAGACTAAATATTGGATTACAAATCTAGTAATATACATACATTTTTGGGAACTTTAACACTACTTCATTAGATTGGCCCTTGCTCTTGAATTTATTTGAAAGCTGTTTAGTTTGAAAATTTCCGATTAAGAAAAATGAGTCAAGGCAACCACTTTTGAGTTTTGGTGTGTCAACAGCGATACGTAATGAATTTCCATTACTTGGCAAATTAGTTTTAAAATGTTGATAGCGCAAGCATTTGGAAACCTATTTGAAGAAATTACTTTTAGTTGTAAATTAAGAAATTGGAAAAAAGAGATCGGCTTTGAAAATGGTTGGACTTTTGGATAATTCGAGTGAGGCTAGAAGGAGTTAGTGACTGTGTCTTCAATGGAACCCCCAAAAATTGTGGATCCCAGAAGGAGGACAGTGGAGAGAGCGATTTGGATCAGTTTGGTGCAGAGGTAAGTGGGCAAAACACGAATGTGACTCACCGGCAGTATAAACTAGTATTATCTAGGTGGATTTCTCTAGAGGTTGCTCGAAGAAAAAACAGACGCCAAACTGCGAGTGGTGAACGTGCTTCGAGTCACCTCATCTCGCACCTCCCGCTTTACAGAGAGACAAATACATTGTAACTTGATAACAACATTTGAGTCAGTTTTTTGAAAATATTTTGTAATTTGTATAATTTTTTGTATATTGCTGTTACCACGCTTTGATAAACCCCCGTCAGATTTAATTGCTATATGAATCATCCAACCCATTGTTTATTTTTGTTCTCTGTATTTGATGTTTCTGTTTTTTACTTCGCCTCTTTGGGATTTCTTTATAAACGATGTCGCAAAAGAAAACTGGATTTACAGACAACACACAAAGTTGGCAATGGGCTTCGGTTTTGAATTCGGTGTCGTTGTTTACCGCTTCGCTACTTCTCAAGTACATATGTACGTACACAAGTACATATATATGAACATTGTACATACATACGTTCGTACCTCCGATCGAACTGAAAAAAGTCCGAAGAATACAAGACAATAACTGTATGGGTTGTCCATATTGAGCATTGAAAGCGTTTTCCCTGTTGATT